GGCTGGTGCGCTCACTGGCTGAGCATGGTGTGGCCAGTCACAAAAAAGACAAAAAAAAAAAAAAAAAAAAAAAAAAAAAACCCTGCAAAAAGTTTTTTTTTCCCATTTTTGGGGGGGGGGGGGGGAAAACTGATTAGCTGAAGCTAAAAGATCAGTTTGGGTATTTCTGTCCTTGAGTAGGCCAACTAAGGGTATAAGAGAAAACAATTTCAGCTGTTGATGAGTTCTCTGGAAAACTTGGAGAGGGCAGTTGTGGGGCATAGGTGACAGTCTGTCTCTGTGTTATGTCTGCTGTTGTCCCTCCATCAGAAGCTCCATCTTACTTAGGTCAGGTTTGCACCAATGTCCTTGTCAGAGTTTCCCACTAGAAAGCCCCTCTCTCTGTTTTCTTATCCGCTTGGGAATTTATTCTTTTATTCTCCAAGTATTTACTATTATTCTGACTTCTGGATTTTAACCATATCCTGAAACTTGTTTATTTTGATGGAGCCTTCATTATTGTCCTACGATATGATTTTTGTCTGTAACTGACAAAAATTTTCTCCTGTTCCACTGTTTCATGATTATGTGCTCATGATAACTGCTACACCCCTTAATAATTGGAGCTTTTCTGATTTAGCTACTTGGATTTATACTTTATATGGCACCATTGCTTCAACAAATAGTCATAATCGCTTTTCAGCATGAACTTTGTATTTGGATTTGGGATATCTATTTTGGCTACTAAGAGGATGTATTTATGCTTTTGTGGGGTTTTGGTTATACTTATATTGATGAGATGGCTGGACATTTTAATGTCTGATTGATGAACCATATTGTTCCTTGAAGCAAGGCACTTTTTAAGCCTGTGTAGTTGTTTGCTTGGTCTCTTGCACAATCCGTATCTTGGCAATGATCTCCAGTCAGTCTTCTAATGCAGTGGCTGTCAATCTTTCTTCAGCCCTGATACACCTGAGGACAGGTGCCCTTCCTTCAGTTGGAGTGGTTACTACAGCAGGGTTGGAATGTGTGTGGAGGGACAGTACCTTTGGGTGATGACATAATTAGGAGGAACTCATAGTTTGAAAAATCCCCTAGGTTTTTGTGTTTGTGTGTGTGCCCCTAAAAAAAAAATCACCTCTCTAGCGCTGTAAACTTAGCTTCTTTAGATAATATGATCAGGGGAGAAGTAGATGATTTTGCTACCTATTTAGCTTCAAGGGGAGGAATAAAAACACATAACACTCAATTTATTGTACAGTGTTAAAGGAGAACATTTTATAATTTTAGGTTTTGAAGTTTAAGATCTTCTGCAGGAGTCAAGGTTAGAAGACATGAGCGCAGAAGAAGGTGACCCACCTTCTGCGGGAGAAGAGATTCCGCACTCTATGGAAGAGGCACCGCCTCCCAGTTCAGAAGATATTGCCCCACCCACTTCTGGAGGCGAGGCCCCGCCCCCTCCTGAAGAAGGGGCCCCTCCCCTTCCAGGAGGGGAGGCCCCAGGAGAAGATGCTGCCCCTCTTTCCCCAGAAGGTATGGAACCTTCCTTGATTGGTTACCAGGATCTCATTCCTTCTGAAGAAATGATAATTCTTCCTGATGATGATGAGACAGATTTGAGTAGACTTCGACCCAGGGTTGGACCACGACTGGTTCAATCAGTGCTTTCTGATGTGCTGTCCTCTCAGTCTTCCCATCGCTCCTCCAGGTATCGCAGAAGTATGAGTGGCATTCCAAATCTACAGGAAACACTGAAAGAGAGACAGGTGTGCTTCTGATAGATTTTTCATGTGTATCACTTTTATTTCAAATGAAATATTTTGGTATATTTTTTGTCATAATTACAATTTTTACATGTGGTTTTGATTCTTTAGGCGAGATTTAGAGATGCAAGGGAAAGCCGAAAACAGAAAATTGATCCTTCGTACAAATATATATTTGAAATTCTAGCAGAAAAGCTTGGTCTGGACATAGTAACTGTTGAAGAATTAATTTTGGATTGCCCATCTGTAAGTTTAAATTTTATATATTTTAAATTGCTTTTAAAGAAGTGACTGATTTAAGAAACCAGAGTCATTGTCATGAACACCAAAACATTTAGAAGAGAAGGAATTTTACTGACTAGAGAAGAAGCTTTTATATATGTAATTACAGTCAGTTGAAAGTTGAGTGATATTTCTAGTCAGGTCTACTATTGTGGAGGAAGAAAAGAGAAGAGTTAGTAAATGAAATTGGGCTAAAATTCTAACTCAAAATGACTTCAGAAGCTAGAGATATAGACAAGCACAGGTAGAATAATATTTTATAAGTACAGCCAGCCTGCATGAGTGGGTTCTGCATCCATGGATTCAACCAACTGTGGATCAAAAATATTAAAAAAAAAATCAAATAAAAAACAATACAATATAACATCTACTTACATAGCATTTCCATTGTATTAGGTATTATAAGTAATCTAGAGATAATTTAGAGTATATGGGAGGATGTGCATAAGTTATATGCAAATAGTATACCATTTTATATAAGGGACTTGAGCATCCTCAGATTTTGTATTCACCAGTGGTCCTGGAACCAATCCCCAGCAGATACTAGAGACTGTACAGGTTATATGAACTACCTATGCAAATCACGCATGTAGAAAACCAAACTGCATAAATACGAGCTAGGGAACAGTTACTATTGTATTAGTATAGTAGAAAACAATGAAGTAATTACAGGTTGTTCTATGGTGCACACCCCGAGTGAATAATGACAGACACTCACTGTTAAAGTCAGGAATTAGGGATTTTACTTCTCGGCTGGCCAGCTGTTTCCCCAGAAAGCCTGGTCAGAGAGCAGCCCCCAGCCTTGTTAGGGAAGGGTTTATAAAGGCAAAAACTGCATCCTGTCTGGTGTAAAGGATGTTCTGCAAGAGCAAGCAAGCTGGTTTACAGAAGCCAAAATAAGCAGGTTAAGCCATTTTTATTGGCTCCTCTGCCTGTCTGTCGGCAGAGTTTCCTAAACTGGGGTTTTTCTAACAGATGGTTAACCTGGTTACTGTGGTTGTGAGTTAAAACTAGGTAAAGAAGCTTTTTGGGTAAGGGTCTTTATCACACCTGGGTGCAAAGGCAGGAAGTGTGGTTACTTGAGGAGGGGCCTGCTTTAGAAAGCAACTTTGTTTCTTATCTACACAGGAAAGTTGGCAGTCTGTGGTTTTCTTGCTAACACAGGAACAGGCTTGTGACCATAGAGCTACAGAGTGTAAAAATGCATTTAGCTGTTTTTACAACTGGGACAAAGATGGAGTCAGTCATGTCAGCTTGCAACAAGGTCAGGTTACCATATGTCTCAGTGTACCAGGAAGAGTTCTGGATTATGCCTATTTTCCTGGCATAATTGTTAACATTGCCTCCTCTGACTCCTAAGAGTGTCCCAGTTTTGGATGATAAATGTATATGGTCACCCTAAGTATAGTAGTATATGATAAACTTGTGTCGTAGCTTTCCTCCTCATAGCTCTGGTTCTAAATTAATTTTTGATAACACTACCACCAGCTGTTTGGGCTTTTTCCCAACTCTAGGAGTCAGTTGGGCTAGAATCACAGCAAGACCAGTGAGCAGGTATAAGTGGGAGGTGAGCTGATTGTCCCACTGAATGCACTGGTGAGAGATTTGGGGTTGGGTGGGGTTGTGGTGCGATTGTCACCATGGGGGCCATATCCCCTGCTTTTACAAGGGTCAATGAACTTGAGCAAAGCTCCTCAGCTTGCTCTATGAGCCAACATTCTGTGGAATGGTGCCTAAAAGAGCTTCTCCCTTGCTTGATGCAGTGTGTTGCCAAGTTCTGCAAAGTTGTCTGCCCTTCATTTCTTCTAGGACCCCTTATAAAAGTTTAGTCCTGGAAGTCCCCTGACAGTATAAACAGAATTGCTCATTTTCCTGCTCCCTTAGTATACAGTTGTAACAGTGATGTGATTGATGCAAAGACATCGATAGCTCTAAGCTATTTTAATAACCAAGGATAGAGAATGCATAGAGATGTGTACATAAGAAAAAAGGTGCACCACAGCAAGCAACTGGAAGTAGGGTGTGGTTTCCTAGGACACTGAAATTTCCTGCTGGAGTGTACCACCGTGGTCAAGGCTGGCTTCATGGGCATGTGGGCTGTGTAGTCACACAGACCCCTGTGCTTAGAATGACCCTGTGCTTGATTTAATGATCTCCCTTCACCATCTTGAAATTCTTAATAATTTTTTAACAGGTGGTCCTGCGTTTTCATTTTCACTGGGTCCCACAAATTCTATAGCTGGTCCTCACTGTGGATGATACTACCCATATAGCAAAAGGATTTTCTTTGCCATTCTCAAGTTGTGTTTGTTTGTTTGTTTTTTAATGGCTTCCCTTCTCTAATGACTGTTTTGGCTCCTATGGTGACTTTGGCTACATGTCTGCCTCATCTCCAAGAAGAAACAATTGGTGCAAAACAACCCTATATGTATCCTTGAGATGACGACAATGAAATGAGGGAAAGGCCAGTTTCTGAAAAAGCATTTCTCAGTAGGCCCAGGCTTCAGGCCTGTCCCGAGGGCCATTTTTGCACTTGTTTAGGGAGGAAACCAGTTAGGTTTCCAATCTTGTTTTACCTGAAAATTGCTAGGTCACAAATTTGGCAAACACCACAGCTGAAATTCTAGCAGCTGTGCAAAGGGTATAGACATAGACTTTGGGGCCTGGTCATTGTCTTCAGGGGAGAACAACTGCTAGAACTAAATGAGGGAGGTGGGTGTCTGCGGAGCTGGTAATCCCACCTTAAATATTTACCATTTTGCTTTCTGGATTGGCATTCTCTGGGAGAAGTCTTTCTCACTGGCTAGCATGCTGGTTAGGAAGTGGAAGTACCATGTGCCTACAAATCCTTATATTTGCCATTCCTGGAGTATGTATCAGACTTTGTGTCTGTGTGGTTAGGATCTACTTTTAAGGCCATTGCAGACCAGGCCAGACACTGCTTAAGCTGCAAGGAATGGAAAATTTAGGCATTAAGGGAATAATCAAGCCAGAAAAGGTGTTCCCTTAAGAGTTGTTTGTGAAAAACTCTTGGAGTTGATAAATGATTTCAGCACAGTAGAGGAGTGCCGCCGCGCTTCCCAAGCGGCACACTATCCAGTGCGCCACCGGGCCGGCCCTAAAACTTCTTAAAGAAAACATAGGAGAAACATTTCAGGAATTAGGACTGGACACAGACTTCATGAATATGACCCCAAAAGCATGGAAAACCAAATGAAAAATAAACAAATGGGATTATATCAATCTAAAGATCTTCTGCACAGCAAAAGAAACAATTAACAGAGTTAAGAGACAACCAACAGAGTGGGAGAAAATATTTGCAAAATATACATCTGACAAAGGATTAATATCCAGAATATACAAGGAACTCAAACAACTTTACAAGGAAAAAACAAGCAACCCAATTAAAAAAATGGGCAAAAGAGCTAAGTAGGCATTTCTCTAAGGAAGATATACAAATGGCCAACAGACATATGAAAAAATGCTCAACATCACTCAGCATCCGGGAAATGCAAATCAAAACCACACTGAGATACTATCTCACCCCAGTTAGGGGGGCTAATATCCCAAAGGCTGTGAATGACAAATGCTGGCGAGATTGCTGAGAAAAAGGAACTCTCATACATTGTTGGTGGGACTGCAAAGTAGTGCAGCCTCTATGAAAAACAGTAAGGAGGTTCCTCAAACAATTGCAACTAGATCTACCAT